AATAATAATAATAATAATAATAATAATAATAATAATAATCTTTATTTATATTCTACTTTACCACCCCTAAGGGACTCAGAGCAGATTACAGTGCACATATAAGGCAAACATTCAATGCCTTTTACACAATGAACAACAACATGCAATACACAGATAAGGTAAAGACCTTCCCCTTTTTCATCTCCGACACCTGGAGGCAATGCTCAACTCCAGCCATAAGGAGGTGCTCTTGTTCCATTTTCCATGCCAAGGAGCCTGCTGTCCGTAGACATATCCGATCTTTTTGGTGGGATGTCTGCATGGGGCACCCTTTTACCTTCCTGCCAAGGGAGTACCTATTGATCTACTCGCATTGGATGCTTTAAAACTGCTAGGCAGAAGCCAGGGCTGACAGTTGGGAGCTCACCCTGACTCATGGCTTTGAACTGCTAACCCTCCGGTCAACAGCTTTTCCTGCAACTAGCTTTTTAACCACTGTGCTACCTCGGCCCTTTTAACTGTATTATATGAGTGTAGGCTCATATAATCCAGTTCAAAGAAGATAATGTGGATTATCCCCTGGTGGTGCAGTGAGCTAAACCCTTGTGCTGGCAAGACTGAAGACCAACAGGTTGCAGGTTCGAATTCGGAGAGAGCATGAATGAGCTCCCTCTGTCAGCTCCAGCTCCCCATGCAGGGACATGAGAGAAGCCTCCCACAAGGGTGGTAAAACATCAAAATATCTGGGCATCCCCTCGACAACATCCTTGCAGACGGCCAATTCTCTCACACCAGAAGTGACTTGCAGTTTCTCAAGTCACTCCTGACATTGAAAAAAATGTGGATTATTTGCTTTGATAGCCTGGGTTATATGGCAGTGTAAAAGGGCCCTGAGACCAAATGAGAAGGAGAATGGAGACTAATGGAGAAAGAGAATAGAAAGAAGGAGGAAGGAAAAAGCAAGCATGGGTCCTCAGCAGAAGCACTTGCAAACTATACATGGAAGTAACAATCCCACCTCACTACAATTCTTGTCATATGTGGAAAGATCCAAATTCAAAATTTCAAGAAGTAAGCAATCTGTGGATGGGCAAATCTATCAGTAATTGCTCTCACAATTGATTTTTTTTTCCATTCCAAATATGAAGAAATTTGCAAATTTCAGCAAAATCCTGTCAAAAACAAACCTAAACAAATCTCTCACTTATCTCTAGCTATAAATTCATGAGCCTGAAGCAGTGCATAAGTGCAGGGGAAGCACTAAACCCTGAAGTCATGGAGCAATGGAAAAGCAAGACAGGACTAGACATCCATGAAGCCTATGGGCAGACCGAAACAGTAGGTCCATGTTATTTATTTAGTCATAACTCTACTACATCATTATTTTCTGGCTTCTTTTAATGTGAACTGCATGCCTCTCCTAAAATATTTTCTCATCATATGATTTTTTTTTTACATAATCACTAAAATAAGCATTTTATTTTGCATGTCCTTTTGATATATGCAGATTTTTCAGACCAAAATAGCAACACATCAGAGAACTGTGCTCTCCAAAAGGGAACTTTGTTCAGATCCAGGAAATGCGAATCAGGACTAGTTCACTTTAAAAAGTGAAACATCCCAAATTCTCCCCTGTTCCAAAGTTACATGTTTTGTTTGAGCACAAGATAAGAATAAAACTGAATAAAATAATAAGTCTCTTTATATCAGGGCTGCAAAATTTAACTTAATGGTCTTTGCTCTCAGTTCAGAGTCCTTGACTTTCTCTCCAGATGGCTGGAAAAGCATTTTAGTTGCCCTGCTCTGGACACAGGCAAACTCACTTCATATGTCTCCCTATATTATACAGCAATGTTCTTTAATCAACAGGGTATGATCTGTGGAGTTCGCAAAGGGATGAAGATTAAGCCAGGTTCAATGGGAAAGGCATGTGCACCATATGATGTTCAGGTTAGTGAATACAAGTCACTGGCTTGTGTTGGTTTTAAAAGTATACCTTCTGTGATGACCAAAATGGCATAATGTACAGCACAGTTCCCATGAAACTATAGATGCCGGTCCTGTAGATATGGGGGTTACCATACGCCATGAAGGATATGCCTCTAATACTGGGATCAGTACTCATCCCAGTATTAGATGCATTATTATTATTATTATTATTATTATTATTATTATTATTATTACCCACTTCACCTTGAAGCTTATGAGGGGAGCAATGCTATTGCCTTCATCCCCTACTTGTAGCATTTCAGTAGCATGGGATCACTGGATTAGACAGTCCTTTGATCTCATCCAGCATTTTTCAACCTGGGGGCTGAGACCCCTGGGAGGGTCACGAGGGGGCTTTCACAGGAGTCACCACAGAACATATATATTTCTTATGGCTTTAGAAACCCCTTTGCCAGAGAAGGCTGAAGATCTCTCCTCCTGTCCTTCTCTTCTTTTTTGGTGTTGATGAACTACAACTCCCAGAATTTAAAAACAGCCCCCCCCCCCAGCCCCACCAGTATTCAATGCTAGCCATGTAGGTAGTGTTCCAAGTTCAGTGCAGATCCATTGTGGGCTGGGTTCAGAGTGCTCTTTGATTGTAGGTAAACTATAAATCCCAGAAATTACAACTCCCATATGTCAAGTCTATTTCCCCCAAACTCCACCAGTGTTTACATCTGGGCGCATTGAGTATTCATGCCAAATTTGGTCCAGATCCATCATTGTTTGAGTCCACAGTGCTCTCTGGACATAAGTGAACTACAACTCCAAAACTCAAGGTCAATGCCCACCAAACTCTTCCAGTATTTTCTGTTGGCCATTGTAGTTCTATGTACCAAGTTTGGTTCAATTCCATCGTGGAGTTCAGAATGCTCTTTGATTTTTAGATGAACTATAAATCCCAGCAACTGCAACTCCCAAATGACAAAATCAATTTCCCCCAGAACCTCATCAGTATTCATATTTGGGTATATCAGGTGTGGTGCCAAATTTGGTCCAGTGAATGAAAAATCATCCTGTGTATCAGATATTTATATTACGATTGATAACAGTAGCAAAATTACTTTTATGAAGTAGCAACAAAATTAACGTTATGGTTGGGGGTCACCACAACTTGAGGAACTGTATTAAGGGGTTGCAGGATTAGGAAAGTTGAAAAACACTGGCCTGATCCAACAGGGCTCTTATATCCTTGCATTAATGCTCTCTTCTTCCAGATTGTAGATGAAGAAGCCAATATTCTGCCTCCTGGAAAAGAAGGAGAAATAGCTATTAAAGTGCAACCAGAAAGGCCGCTGGGACTCTTCTCTCGCTATATAGTAAGAAACATGTTTTTGCTCCTAAAAAAGCTGAAAGGTTTTTCCCAGGATAGTCAAAGACAGTAGACTTAAGACTTCATCAGATGGGTGGGGGTGAAAGCAGAGAGAGCCATCTTACCCAGTTCCCTACTGTTTTTATCAGTCTTCTGGGATGACACCCATCCCATGTCCTTTTTTCACCTTTCCCTGACTCCCCACTTTCTCCAGTTTGGAGTCTGGTAACAGCCAACTCCTGAAGATGGTCTTCTGGCTCCATTTCCATGCATTTAGGGAAGGAAGTGCCACAGAGTCTCACCTGAAATGCCCATGTGTCATGTGTTGGCATCCGTGGGACTCCCATAGGGGCTCCATTTCCGCAGTGCAAGGAAATGGAGTCCGAAGGCTGTCTGATGAAGTCCTTAAGTGGGATGAATGTGTCTTCAGAGGTTTACCTTGGACATTTCATCAGAGTTCAAACAACACTAACCAGTGCAAACAAGAAAGATGCACACAGACACCAAGAAAAAATGGTATTTATACGTTTGTAAAAGTGAAAGGAAGAGAGGGACTAGGGAACATGGTGTCACCAGTTCGCAGGACATCTGATACAATTTAGCTAGAAAGTTTGCATGTTTTTGTGGATGGGCCTAGGATCTATTCCTTTTGCTTTCTAAACATAATTCTTTCCTTATTTATAAATGAATGCTCATTCAAACACTACAGTGTTCCAGAACAACAGCTGTGTGTGTGTGTTGTGTGCCTTTTAGTCAATTTTGACTTATGGCAACTTTGAATAAGCAACTAGGCTTGTGCATTCGGGGTAAATCTTAACCCGTTTCATGTCCCGGCTTTCCGTAGGTGCCCGATCCATATTTTAGGAGCCTCCCAAAATCGGGAGGGCAGATATCTGATTTCGCTCTGGGGTGCTGAAAGATCCATTTTCTATTGGTCCATTAAGAGTGGGGGGGGGGCTTCCCAGGTTCCCCTTCCTGTCATGTTAGGCATTTAAGTTGTTTTACTCTAGAGGAGAGACACGCAGCTACAGGCAGGCACATGCTTTAAGGAGGCTTTGTATGTGTTTCTACTCTAGTAGAGAGGCTATAGGCAGGCACGGCCGCTTTCAGGGCTTGCATGCCACACACGCAGTTGCTCTTTCCAAGGCAAAGAAGCAAGTTCTTTCTTGCTCTAGAGGAGGCGCTTGGCTGTAGGCAAGAGCCTGTGCTGGGTCTGCACACCACTCTTTCTTTCCAAGGTAAGGAGGCATGGAGCACCACATGCTCACAAAAGTAGAAGGGGAACCGATGATCGGCTCACACTTGCTTTAATGTCAAGCTGATTATCAGGAGGGGAATTCCCATTTTGTGCTCCCAAAGGTAACGGAAAAATCAGAGGCACTGCAGGTACTGAAGTAAATTGGATTCATGCACAACTCTATAGGCAACATATCACAGAGGCTTTTTGGCAAGATTTGGTCATAGGAGAATTGACAGAGTACGGTTTCTGTGGCCAAGTGGAGATTCAAACCCTGGCTTCCAGAGTTGTGATCCAGTTATTGAGCCACTAGATCACACTACTTCTTTACATGGTTAAACCTACAATATACTGGTGACCTATTCCAACTTTTTGAAATTTCTTCTGTAGGACAACCCTGATAAAACAGCTGCAACAATACGCGGAAGTTTTCATATTACAGGGGACAGAGGAGTGATGGATAAAGAAGGGTACTTTTGGTTTGTTGGAAGAAATGATGACATCATAAATTCTTCAGGGTTGGTTTCTTTGCTTGGCTTTCCCCCTTCCTTCCTTCTTATAATTGTTTATGTCATGCATCTCTGACACAAAAATCCAGAGGTGACTGATGTCAATGGAACAGCCTGTTCTGGGTTCTAGTCTTAACTTTAAGGCTGTTGGTCAAATTCTTGAAACTATGCCAAGGTAGGGTTCTGTACATTCAATAGTCCAAAGGTGAGACTAAAACTTAAACTTATTGTCCTATAATTTAAACTAAAATTCGTCATCCTAATGACATGGGAACCACCCCTGCAACAAAATCGTCAAAGCAAAACCATGAAAACATTAGTTATCCTACAATATCCTATTATATACAACTCCCTTCCCAATATAACATTTCCATCAATGTAAGAAGATTCACAGAAATGTGGATTCAAATTAAACCCACAATATTTCTCCCCTCCAAAAAAAACTCCAGCAATATTTAACTACAACACTATTTTATTCTCCATCTCAACACTAAGGCCTCATCACACTAGAGAATGAATCCACTTTAAATCCAGTTTCTGCCCCCTGCAGAATTCTGGGGTTTGTCGTTTATGGAGGATCCTTTAACAGCCTCACTAAACTACAAACTCCAGAATTCTGCAGGAGGCAGAAACCAGATTTAAAGTGGATTTATTCTCTAATGCAATGAAGTAGTCACAAAAACTTAGCGAGTGGAAATTCTTGATGCAAAAGGATCAGGCTGGATCTACACTACCATATAATCCAGATTATCTGCTTTGAACTGGATTATATGAATCTACACTATCATATAATCCAATTCAAAGCAGATAATCTGGATTTTATGTGGCAGTGTAGATGGGGCCACAGTCAATATTGGTGGGCTGCAGCTCCCATTAGCTCCAGCAAGCTTAACCAGTGATGATGGATGATACCAGTTAGATCCCAACAAACTATGCATTTCGCACCCATTAAATCTTACTGGTTAAGAGTCATTTACATCCTGGATACTTTCCCTCCCTGACTAAACTGTTGATAATTTTGGGTTTCTGTCCTAGGTATCGTATTGGGCCATTTGAAGTAGAAAGCGCGCTTCTAGAGCATCCTGCAGTAGCAGAAGCGGCTGCGATCAGCAGCCCGGACCCACTCCGAGGAGAAGTAATTATAATCTATGACATTTTTTTAAGAATATAGCCCTACACATAAGTCTGTAGAGTATGTAGAGTGGTGCAGCAAGTAAGTTAGGATGGCTGAGACCCAGATCCAAATCATCATTCAGCCATAAAGCTCACTGGCTAGCTTTGGGCTGGTCATAATCTTACCTGCCTCCAACGCTTGTTGTTCGGATAAAAGCAGGTTTGTGTACTAGAAAATACAAATGATTGCTGGATTCCAATCCCGAATTGTCCATGTAGATGGCTAAGATAGTGGCCCCTATGCTTTCTGATGGTTCAGCAAACACAAACGTTGTTTCCTGCACAAATAATTTTTTTAAAATTTATGAAACTACCTTAAGGCTATATGTATAAGGTGTATGCAAAACACACATGAATTTTGTGTTTAGACTTGAGTCTCATCTCCAAGATACTACAGATATCGTGTGTGTGTGTGTGTGTGTGTGTGTGTGTGTGTGTGTGTGTATCGGAGGCTCACTGGTGGTGCAGCGGGTTAAACTGCTGAGCTGCTGAACTTGCTAACTGAAAGGTTGGCAGTTCGATTCTGGTGAGCAGGATGAGCTCCTGCTATTAGCTCCAGCTTCTGCCAACCTAGCAGTTTGAAAACATCCAAATGTGAGTAGATCAATAGGTACTGCTTCAGCAGGAAGGTAACAGCACTCAATACAGTCATGCCGGCCAAATGACCTTGGAGGCGTCTATGGACAACGCCGGCTCTTCGGCTTAAATAGACCCACTGAATCAAGATTAAGTTGCAAGTCAGTAAAAGTTCATGGCAACATATTCTTTTGTTGGAATGGCAATACACACTTATGCTCCACTCATTCAGTTCTGTTCTAGCTGAGACTAACAATTGAATGTATGCATTTCTAGACAATCTTGTGTGACTTCTGAGTAGGTGGCAATTGTACAAAAGTAGTAAAGGGAGGATCTTTATTACTCCAGTTATTTGTGTATCTGGTTGCAATGTTCGGTACATACATGCCAGAATCCAATCAGTGACACACAAGTGCACCATATGGCTGCATTTGTATTTTCTATGTTTGTAGAGCCTGATACTCTCTTCCTACAGTTATACATCCACAACTACTATATATTCACTCTCCCAATGCAGGCCCACATTTAGGGCTACATCGTGGCCATGAAAGTCTCCTAAATTCCATTTACGAGTAAGCAGCCACTGGGATTAACTGAAGCCCATTCCCCTATAGATCCCTGTCGATCTCAGCAGCTGCTTTTTGGTAAGTGGGGTTTGGAGAGGTCATGCTAACATTCAATACATAGCAATGTTGTTACAGTACTACATGGTTAAATAATTGTCATAAGAGTCTAGTCAGCAAAGTCAGTATGGTCTGGAGACAGGATGGAATGTAAAGCGTCAAAATGCAGATGATTTGGCCATGTCTTATTGTACCAACTCTGACTTTTTAGGTGGTGAAAGCCTTTGTGGTGTTGTCTCCTGGCTTTGTGTCTGGAGATAAGGACAAATTAACCCTCGAACTGCAGGAACATGTCAAGAAAGTGACAGCGCCGTACAAATATCCAAGAAAGGCAAGTACCAGCAGAGAATGAAGAATCATTCAAAGAGATTGGCCTTTATTGACTTTGGTTCAATCATGTGTCATCTATATAATGTACATTCATTCACGTGTCACCCATATAATATACATTATTCCATTCCATTATCCAGAAAATTGCATTGGCTAGACCACATCAGCTCTAGTTTCTGATACAGAACATATGCCATCCAATAGTCACCATCTGCTCACCCACAGAAAACCATATTTAATGATCTAGAGCTGATGTGGTAGTAGCAATCTTTTGTGAGTAGTCAGTCTTTCCCCTCCCAATGTCCTCATTGTCTCAGCACTATACGAGGGTTTCGTGATACCCAGTTGCTGTCATTGCTGTGTGGTTTTGAGGCAACTGTGTAGTAATGGTGAGTCTGCAGACCATATTTTCATTCTTGCAGAGACCACAGATTGGGAACCACTGGTCTTGAGAAAGGGAATGAGATTGGATAGGCCTTGAAAAGAGGGGGTTGCAGTGTTTCAGGAGTGGACAACTTTGACAATTGTGGAGACTATTTTTCTGCCCTGAGATTCTTTCGAAGCTACACAAAGATTGCCAAGATATTATTCAAACCAAAGATTAAATGTTCAGGAGCCAGTTTGTGGTTTCGTAAAAGCTGTATACATATGGATTTATTTTAAGTTGAACGGCGAGTGAGTAACCTATTTACAGTCTGAATTGTTGCTTCTAGAGCTCTCTAGATGGTGGAGTTCATCTTTTTTGGCTATAAGAAGGGTTGTCCAGGGAGCTGGAAGATCTTATCCTCACTCTTGCCATTTCTTAGCAATAGGTGACTCCAATTACCCTCCCATTAACTCTGATCTTTTTGCCGAGCTTGAAATTCACAGTATCAAAAAGTAACCCTTGTTACATAAAGAAAAGAAAAGAAAATGCCACAATTCCTTATTTTGTTTGTTTCTTTGCTAGATGGAGTTCGTCCAACAGCTGCCAAAGACAATCTCAGGAAAAATCAAACGGATTGAACTGAGGAACAAGGAATGGGGACGAGTTTAATGTCTACAGCAGATGGTTGGAATGGCCGCCAGCTTTCCAAATTCGATGGACATTTATTTGAGGCCTACTGGTACTAGGATGGCCTCTTTTATGGTTGAACTTGGACCATCAGAAACATGAGCACAACTGTCAAAACCACTATGGCAGTGTTTCTCAACCTGGGGGTTGACACTCCTTGGGGGATCACGAGGGGATGTCAAAAGTGTTGCCAAAGACCATCAGAAAACGCAGTATTTTCTGTTGGTCGTGGGGGTTCTGTGTGAGAAGTTTGGCCCAATTCTATCGTTGGTGGGATTCAGAATGCTCTTTGATTGTAGGTGAACTACAAACCCCAGCAACTACAATTCCCAAATATCAAGTCTATTTTCCTCAAACTCCATCAGTGTTTACATTTGTGCATATTGAGTATTCGTGCCAAATTTGGTTCAGATCCATCACTGTTTAAGTCCACAGTGCTCTCTTGATGTAGGTGAACTACAACTCCAAAACTCAAGGTCAATGCCCACCAGACTCTTCCAGTATTTTCTGTTGGTCATTGTAGTTCTATGTGCCAAATTGGTTCAATTCCATCATTGGTGGAGTTCAGAATGCTCTTTGATTATAGGTGAACTATAAATCCCAGCAACTACAACTCCCAAACAACAAAATCAATCTCCCCAAACCCCCCCCCCCAACTCCACCAGTATTCAAATTTTGGCATATCAAGTATTTGTGCCAAGTTTGGTCCTATCGATGGAAATACATCCTCCATATCAGATATTTACATTACAATTCATAATAATAGCAAAATTACAATTATGAAGCAGCAATGAAAACAGTTTTGTGGTTGGAGGCAAGCACAACATGAGGAAGTGTATTAAGGGGTCGCGGCATTAGGAAGGTTGAGAAACACTGCACTACGGGGTCCTGGAAGTCCAGGATTTTGAAAGGCTAATAGGATAACCAGTGCCACTCCATCCCAATAAGGTTTCCCAAATGGAACAATAATACCTTAGCAATAGTTTCAAGGGCTTTACAGATCTCTCTGTTGTTAGGCAATTGATGTAGCATTGTCTTAAATCAGTTTCAGCTTCTGCAACTAAGAACACCAGACTAGTTATTAAAACCAGACCAAGTTCATACCAAAGGGAATCAGTTTGATTTTTTTTCAAACAGACAGTTAATTCTGGATCCCATGTGCTTGATTACTCGACTCAATTCTTCTTTTCTGTTTTCAACAACTTTCCGTAATACACTTTGTCAAGAACGAATCCCACCAAGCAAACCTTGTATCTTTTTTATTAGCTTGCCTGTTTAGGGAAAATGTGTTGTTTATCTGAGTTTCAGCCAAGCATGGGATAAAGTTCCATAATATTTTGATTATCAAACTGATTAAAACCAGAGTACATAGAAATCCCAGCAGATGGATGCATCACTGGTTGGAAAACTGTGCTCAAAAAGTTGTCAATAATGCCTACACTTTAAGGATCCCAAGTGGAGTGCCAGTTGAGAGGTCAAAATCCTGAAATGAGTATTACATCAGAATGATAGGGCCTGTAATACTTTTGACAATCTTGATCTCTACCACTTCGATGCTGGATTGTTATGGTATGGGAACTGAGGTTTTAAAAAGTAGCTGTGCCTAGCAAAACTTGCTTTGAAATCATTCCTGTGGGAAGACTATTACGTGAGGGAAAAAGTAATGAGCAGGAAAGAGTTAATGTTACGCTTTGGGGCAAATAGTTAATCCACAAAATGTTTGACATGCTTAGAGTTTTATTACACTACAAGCTGGGGTATCTGGCTAGGTTGTGGGTGAACTACAACTCATATCATGCCAGATTAATCCCCTGAAACTCTATCAGTAGTTAAAGTTTGTCATGTTGGGCAAGTTTGTTCTAGATGCAAATATGTGGGGTTCAGTGTGATCTCTGGCTGCAGGGTAAGCTACATGGTGGGTCCGTCCCCTCAGATTCCTGCTATATGCTCTGTGCTCTACGTGGGGTTGCTTTGAAGACTATTCAGAAGCTACAAATGGTCCAATGGGTGACAGCCAGGTTTCTATTTATTTATTTACTATGTTTATATCCCATCCTTCTCACCCCAATAGGGGGGACTCAGAGCGGCTCACAAAAGGCAGCAATTCGATGCCGTATATATACATAAATACAATAAAAATAAACATATGCATTAAAAATAAACATACTGCTCACTGGAGGGAAGGATATTAGAGGCAAAGATGAAGTACTTTAGTTACATAATGAGAAGATGGGAAAGTTTGGAGAAGACAATGATGCTGGGGAAAATGGAAGGAAAAAAGAAGAGGGGCCGACCAAGGGCAAGATGGATGGATGGTATCCTTGAAGTGACTGCCTTGACTTGGAAGAAGCTGGGGGAGGCTACAGCCAACAGGGAGCTCTGCCGTGGACTGGTCCATGAGGTCACGAAGAGTTGGAAGCAACTGAACAAATAAACAACAGCAAGAACATGCATTAAAACTCAAAAAACAATCCACATTAAAACAATTATTAAAATCACGTTATCCAGAGTCAAATCCAAGGCCATTCTATTAGTTCTTTCACAATTCCATATATTTCACTAGCTTGTTAGCCAAAAGCTTGGTCCCATAACCAGGTTTTAACTTTCTTCCTGAAGGTCAGGAGGTAGGAGGCTGCTCTAATTTCGTTGGAGAGGGATTTTCATAGCCGAGGGGCCACCACTGAGAAAGCCCTGTCTCTCAACCTGTGTGTCCCTAGGTGTTTTGGCCTACAACTCCCAGAACTTCCAGCCAGTTTACTAGTTTCTGGGAGTTGAAGGCCAATACATCTGGGGACCCCCAGTTTGAGAACCATTGTTCTGGGGGCTTATTTCCTTTCCCTCCCAGTCTCCTTGCCTTCAATCATGGAAGTCCCAAACCTGCTAGGCACTAGAACAAACTGTAGTAGTTGTTGGTTTTTTTTAAAAAGGGAAACAACGTTAAAAAGCTCTCAGTAGCACAATTTCGAAAGCCAAGATTACTATGAAGGAGAAATGACACAAAAAACAAAGTGGGTTTTGTTTTTTATGTCACTACACTACAGAGACTGTTCACAGATGAAGCAGTACAGGAGAGAAGAAGAAGTCCCCTTGTGTCGTATGATGAGATCCATGTTGCTTCATCTATGAACTGTTTCAGAAGTGTGTGGGAACGGTAAGCGGGAGGGGAATCTTGTGATGTGGTTTCTTATACAAAAATTTGGCACAAGGCGTTATATGCCTAACTACCTTGCGTATGGGATCCCTAGTATTTCCATGAAGAAAAAGATGGCCTTTGAGACTGATGAGGACTCTCCCAACCTGAACACAATGCATACCTCCAGCAGGCACCCCATTGCTTCAGCCACCCCTGGTGCTATAGGATCATTGGAGTCAAATAACTGAAAAAAAATGTTTAGCTCCGAAGCAATTTTCAAATATCATGATCCCATGGCCCTTTTTAGAGCAGGTGGATGTGAGTGATGTGGGGTCGGGAAAGGTTTTATTGCAAAGGAACCAGTCAAGCCAGTTGTGACCATATGTGCTTATCAGTCAAATACATTGAATGGGCCAAAAGGCAATTGACCAGTCTGGGAGAAAGAGCCTGCTGTTTTGGAGTCATTTCTTAGAGAGTGCATCGTGTGAGCAGACCATCACACTTTGGAGGAGCCGAAAACACACTGGAAACTGAGCTCACCAACAGGTTAGATGGGTCAAATTATTTTATAAGTTCCAAATTAGCATCTTGACTGATGCTTTATCATGGTTGCATCCGAGTCAGAGAGAGAAGGAGGTGGACATAGTGTTCAACAGCCCCCAAAATACAGTGGTCTCTGGAAAATTGGTATAAAGAAGTCTGAATTCTTAAAATGTGACTTCTTGCAGTTTGTTCGTTGGTAAGATTTAATAGTATTTCACCTCACCAGGCTGTAATGAGAGCAAGCAAGTTGCTTGCAGAACATTTTCCACGTAAGATACAATGTCTTTAAGAATTCACTTACCAAGTCCTCAATGACCTGGTTTCTGCAGATGGTGAAGGCTGGTGGCTTCTATGCCAGTGGGACAGTCAACCCGTTCTGCACTTCCTGATCGAGCTTTCCGAGGTGCTGAAATCTTTCCCCTAAATCAGTGGTTCCCAACCTTTGGACTTCCAGGTGTTTTGGACTTCAACTCCCAGAAATCCTTGCCAGCTTAACAGCTGTGAGGAATTGTGGGTGCTGAAGTCCAAAACACCCGAAGGCCCAAAGGTGGGAAACCACTGCCCTAAATAGATTCGGCACCTTGAAAAATTCAGTCCAAAACTCAGAATGGAGTCCCTACTCTAGTGGCTGGCCATAAGCCATCATCTATCTACAGACCTAAGAATGAGTTCTTCCTCCTCTGCTTTCAATGAGTCATGTTCATATTATAATGGCACGTATTTCAGTAAGACTGGTGTTGAAGTTCATGGTTGAGAAACAATTATTATTATTATCATCATTGTTGTTGTTGTCGTCGTCATCCCTCTGGAGATACACAATGGAGTAAACTTATTCATGGGGATAGGGGTATCTAGAGACTACATTTTAGTATCTATCTTTTAAAAATGTTTATTAGGTGTGTTATCTATTGACCAGGGCCGCAATGGCACAGCGGGTTAAACCGCTAAGCTACTGAACTTGCTGACTGGAAGGTCGGCAATTCAAATCAGTTGGATGGAGTGAACTCCAGCTGTTGGCCCCAGATTCTACCAATCTAGCAGTTTGAAAACATGCAACTGTGAATAGATCAATAGGTTCCACTTTAGCAGGAAGGTAATGGTGCTCCATGCAAACATGCCAGCCACATGACCTAGGAGGTGGCTATGGACAATACTGGCTCTTTGGCTTAGAAATGGAGATGAGCACCACCACCCAGAGTTGGACACAACTCGACTTAATTTAATGTCAAGTGGAAACCTTTACCTTTACTTTATCTATTAACCACCATGAGGCAGGAAGGCAAGGAAGAAATACAGATGATGATGATGATGATGATGATGATGATGATGATGATGAGACTTCTTGCAGTTTGTTGCAATGCCAGGTTCATGAAGCAGGTTCATGTAATATGACTTCTCTGGATGTAGATGAACTACAACTCCAAAACTCAAAGGCAATGCTCACCAAACCATTCTAGTGTTTTCTGTTAGTCATGGGAGTCTGTGTGCCAAGTTTGGTTCAATTCCATCATTGGTGGAGTTCAGAATGCTCTTTGATTATAGGTTAACTATAAATCCCAGCAACTACAACTCCCAAATGACAAAATCATTTTTTTTAGTAATGGTCACTCCTTGGGTTAGTAGGTGTCTTGTAGCCAAATTTGTTGGCAATTCGTCCAGCAGAAAATATCTTTTCTATTGAGTTCAAACATTTATTAACTTCTATAAAAGGTCCAACCTACAGGCTTCTGCCA